CCTAAAATTTTATTTTTTAGTGCTGCTGGTTTAGGAGTTATAGATTTTATAAGTTTTCTGTCAGCTTTTGCATGTCCTCTGTACAGATTTGAATGATTGCTTTGGTTGACTTATTTAATCATGGAATCATATATTGGTGATAATAGAAGAGTTGTATTGATTTTTCTAATATTTCTAAAATGTCTAAGATCACTACTTTTGGTGGTTTAGAACTCCAGTTATATCTATTCAAAGTGGAATGATAGATTCTGTCCAAATCTGGACAGAGATGCCTTCTTGGTGTTGTTTAACCTTGTTAGCTATAGAATCATATTAAGATTATAATAAGAAAGTTATAGATAATTTAATAATATTTCTATAAAGTTAAGGATCATGCTTGTTGGATGAATGTAACTTGAGAGATGCATTTCTGAAGTTACTATTAGTTTTCTATCCTTAGTTGTGTAAGCTCTGTTTCATAATGTATTTTGACCTTGTTATTTGATGAATCAGCTTTTGGTGTTAATAACAAAGTTTTAGATAATTTCATTAGCTTTCTAGAAAGTCTAGGATCACCCTTGTTGGTTGCTTATAACTCTGGGTATGGTTAGAACAAGTGACTGTGGTGGTGCTGTTCAGAATCTATGTTTGTACCTAAAATTGTTTGCTTCACCTTGCTTTGCTTTGTGTGTTGCTAAGTGTGGCTCATGCCTTTGATGGTGTTAAGTTAATATACCTAAAACTTTGTGAAACTTGTGTCATGCTTGGTGCTGCCTTCCTTGCTATCCTAGCATGATATGTTGTGTGATGTTTAATTAAGTAACATGGAGTGCTTATATATGTTCGGCGCAACCTTATGCTCATCTTGAATACTTTTATGTGAGGCATCTCATATTGCCATTCTTCGCATTCATGCACTTCCATTGTTGCATCTCATCTAGGTACGCTACATGCACCACATGAAGTACGTGATGTTGGAGCCTAACCCGAAGATGGTGTATGGTGGACCTATCCCGAAGATAGAAGGACTAAGCAAGTGCTAAGACCGGAGATGTCATCAAGACGGTGCGAGCTAACTAAACTGACTTGTGTCGGATCCTAGGCAAGCCTCAGAGCATTCTAAGCCTCCTATGTTTTTACAAATATCACTTGAGTACTTTATGTTTGATGCATTAGGTTATAGGAGTTGATTGGAAACACTTGATGCATATAATTTCCTTGTCCAGAAATATACCTTGAACCCTTTGTAGGTCAAGGATCGAATATATGCTTAGCAATGCTTAGACCGGTAGAAGTCGGGTGATTTCCTATCTCCTGCGAGATATATGTGGATACCAAAGCACGGTTGGCTATATTTGCTATCATGGAAAATAACCATGTGATGATGAATAAACGGAGATCGGATAGGATCTGGTGATTGAGAGGCAGCAGGACATGGAGGTCTTGTGTGCATGTTTTATCCCGTCTGTGTCGATTAAGGACCGTACTGTTTCTGGCACTTCTGCCGAGATTGAACGCATGCCTCTCACTTAGCTGGCTGGATAACTCATTCCGACCACGAAGCCGAGTAGCTCAACTCAGGCCAGGCCCTATTCTGTAAGAGTGCGCACTCTAGATGGTAGTAAGGATGTGCGGGGAGTCAGACATGAGCCCAAGGGCAGGGTAGTCCTGATCGTCCTGGCAGCTGGTTGTCCCTGATTGTGCGGCGCTGATCGAACCCGTGAAATGTGGACCTGAGTCATACCAAAGGTGACCTAAGACTACCTTGGCGCAAGTATGTCTGGGTTTGTGTTAGGAATAAATTCCTAGCTGGTTGAAATCGATTCGAATAGCCATCTCTCCCGGATAGTGAGAAACTCGACTACCCCTAGCATCGTAGTAATTGAATTATAGAATACGATGGTTATGATGAACATGGAATTATTACACCGGCTATGGTTACTATTGCATGTTTCTAAATTATATAACACATGTTTGGCACAGGTTAGTTGCTAATCTAGAGATGAATAGCTATAATTAACTTGATGACCGAATTATAAAATGTATAGCTGCATTAGTGGCTTTTTATGTAAAATATTGTCAAGCTAGCTCCACTTATAAAGCCTTGCATAATCGTTGATGTCATTTTATTTTTGGTTTATGATGGGTAAGTCTAGCTGAGTACATTCGAGTACTCAGGGTTTATCCCACCATGTTGCAGGTGAAGTTCTCGGCCTAAGGAAGATGGTGGCTAACCATCGATGGGCTCGGTGCCTCTATATTTATTTCTAATCTATATGCTTCTATCAGAGGATATCACTTATGCTAGCAATGTATTTGGAACTTATATTAATGTAATCATTTGAAAGCTATGTTGTTTTCCTTTAACCGGTTTTGAAACCCAAACTTTTACTATTATTTGTGAACCCATTTGTAATATTATTTCCGCTGCAACTCTATGTATGTGATGTGTATTTACTTAATCATGCGATCTTGGTTATGATGTTGATTTACTGAGGTCCTTCGTGACACTCGGTGGACTACCGGGTTTATATAAATAAAAGTATACGCGCGTCAACGTGTTAAACGGGGACAGCCGTACTTGATCTTGTATAAATTGGGCGGTTCTGTCACATGGACGGCCTGATGGTTGGTGCATGTCCGGTGGCACGGGCCTGCCTGTGCAGCGGCGCGGTCATGAGATGATGGATCCGGCGCCGCCCCGACCAGATCCGGTCCTCCTATGGCCAGTTCCGGCGCCCCTCGCTCGTCTCGCCGGGGAGCAGCCAGCGTGGGCGGCGGCGCGTGGCGCGAGGCCATGGATGGCGCGGCAGATCTAGCGGCTATGCGAGGACAACGCCGGCGGGTCAGCAGTAGCAGGACGCCGGAGGCGGTGGTGGCTCAAGGATTACACCGGTTACTGGCAGGCATGACTGCTAAGGATGCAGGCCTCCACAGCCGACGTGCTGTTGCGGTTCCTGCAATCGGCTGGTCGCGAGCATGTGGCGAGCCTGGCGCAGCAGACTGGCCATGGCCATTGCCGTGTACAAGGTTAAGGTGCCATGGAGAAAGCTTTATCCCTCTGGGACCGATGACGGTGACACCTCCGGGCACCGTTTTCTTCCTTGGAAGCGTCCGTCGAACGGTCTTCTACCCTTTGCGTGGCATGTCCTTCCTAGGTGAAAACCTTGACCTTGCGACGCAAGCGTCCATCAAACAGTCTTCTACCCTTTGCATGCCATGTCCTTCCTAGGTGAAAACCTTGACCTTGCAACGGCGGCGCCGATGGCGTCGCATCTCTCCTTGGAGGCGTCGTTTTGGAAGGTCGTGCTCGGTCAATCTGCAACAGCTATCAGCGTGGCGGTGAAGAAGGTGGAGGCCTAGTTGAGGATTCAAGTGTTTGGTGTCCACGATGGAGGAAGGCGGTCAGGAGGAGGGCGTGAACGTGACAATTGGAGGGCCTCGCAGTTGCTTGGCACTGGGGGGCGATGGTCTGGTGGGACCGTACGCTAGTTGTGATGACCACGAAGTTGGCGAGTAGGTCGGCGTGGGAGGAGGCATCCATGGAGTTGGTGATGAGGCCGACATGGATGTGATGGCCAGCAGATTTGCATTGCCGTTGCCAAGGTGACCTGCGTGGTGAAGCAGCAGGCGGTCCCGCTCAGCGGTGGTTGTCTCCAGCGCAAGGAGGCGCTCTGACTGGCAGCTGGAGCACATGTGTGGCACTTCTACCTTCGATGAGGTAGCCAGGTCTTGGAAGCTACGATGTGCGCGCTTGGATCTCGGTGGACGGGGTCGGTTTGGCGAGCGCCAGAGGCAGCTGCTCACGTGTTGGTTTGGCAGCTTGCAGCGGACTACGGTGGCTAGCCTTGCTTGGCGGTGGCTAGTCCGGTGTGGTACATCGTCTTGATAGGCGGCGCAAGCGGATCCAATCGCGGGAGGGCTACTCAGCTTGCAGCGACCTACGACGGCGAGTCCTGCTTGGCAGCAAGCTAGCCCGGTGTGGATCATCGTCGGTAACGACGGCACGAGCGGTGACGATGGTGTTTTCGCCGTGACGGCCTTAGTCGTCCGGGGTTTGGCGGTGTAGTGTCGTGGTTTGGAGTTGGTGGTGGTTCTCTTTTTTCTTCTTTTTCTCTGAGTTGAGCTTCGACGTTGTGCAGTTCGTGCTGATGTCCCAATCTGACTGACTTGAGTTATTTTTTTCCTTTTTATTAAGTTTGTTTTCCGGTGTGGTTGTTGGTCCCTGTTGCATCATTGTGCCCACTTTTTCTTTTTAATATAATCAGCAGCTCTCCTTGATTCGTTTAAAAAAACAGAGGTTTGCATTGCCAATGTCTAGAGAAAAGACCTCACATATCAAACTCAAATAGGCACAGAGAGTGATGGTGCATCATTGTAGATCTGCATGGCTAGCTGGAACAAAATGAGGAAGATGCTGAAGATAATGAAATGTTCAACAAAGCCAAAGGAACCTGACAACATAATTCTTAAAATTGATGACATTAGCACAAGATAGATACTGATGTCCTCTCACTGCACTGTGCAGAAAATACAGTGTGCATGATACCAGAAGTAATACTGTAAACGATCAACAGAAAGATAGTAGTTTAAACTAACTACTGTTCATTCTTCGTTGCAAGAATTTATACATGTCGATAATTGTTCTGTTTATATATCAAACTGAGGCTCAATAACTGACCCCATGCGCACCAAACAAACTGAATATTTATTCAACGTTAAACAGGGTCCCGGACACAAAGGGTAAGTCATTGCTCATTTGTGGACTGTCAATATAAACTAAATTAAATAAGACTAGCTGACAAACTAGGGAATAGAGTAGAACATTCGTAGATAGAAAACAAAACTTAACAAAACCATAAATCAACCACAGTTTTGACATCCGGGAAGATTGAACTCGAAGTTCACCTAATTAGAAGATATAGTTGAATTTATTACACAAATAACATTCCAGCTTAGTCATGCCAATGTACTACACTATGAGGACCTTCCCTTTGCCACCATGACTGGAGCGGTCAGGACTAGGACTCCCAAAGAATTGGAAACAGGGTGCAATCATGTAGCTCTACTTCTGCTAACTTAGGCTTCGGTTTGGGAGGAACCCATTCTTGTTGCTTTCGCCGCATCTCTAAAATATCCTCATTTTCTTCCTCACCATCTATTACAGACATGCTGTTGAGCCTCAACTCTTCTTCTGTTAGCTGCAACTGCAGCTTCTTTTTCAGATGCACAAGCAGAGTTAAGAAAGAGATCCTGCCTTCACCATCAATAATCTTACAGAACATGTGGTAAGCCCAGTCCTTCAAAAGCTTTGAAGTGGATATATCATCACAATGGATGTCCACAGAGAAAGCAGAACAACAAAACATTACTGTTCCATCATCCATCACAATGTCAAGCTTCTGAACAAGGACCCTAATCGTTAACGCTTTCACAGTACTCCGCGACACCATTAACACAGAGCTCACCATGAGCCCTGATCGGTCAATGTACTGACCTGTCCTCGGTCCAAACCCCGTGGTTTTGTCACACCCCAAAATTTCTATTTTGGGATGTGACTTAGAAAACACTAAATAACAATAAACGATTTTACTATTTTCTAAAATTTCTCAACTTTAGTTAAGTTGTGGACATTCTAGATAGTGGAAAATGTGAGTTTCTAAAATTTTTACAACTAATTAAACTGTTTTGTTGCATTTCATGCCGTTGCATAGTGCTTTTTATGAAAAATGAGTTTAAATGTTTTCAAACGCGCATAGGGTTTGATCCAAATCAAATCTCTCAAGATCCTTGACCAAATTTTCCATAACCTCAATGCCATGATCAAATCCTTGGAAACCATACTCCTTGATCCGTGTTCCAAAAGCTTTGATGGGTCTTCAAACTTTAATCATGTCACATACCCAAGTTAATCTTGATTCGACTTTCTCTTCTTTCCTCACCTTGGGCAACATCCTCATGAACTCTTTCCCCTCTACCTTTTCTCCTCTTGATCAAAGCCCACAACCCAAAAAGACAACAAGCAACCAGCCCCGTAACTCTATCAACGCTTCGGGCCGAATCCGGTCCAAACCTTGCCTTAGCTCTCGCCATGGGTCAAAGCCCAACCATCCTCCTCTCCTTTGTGGTCCAACATCAAGCCCAACCAGCCCTCTATCTCTTCCTCTTTCCTCTCCCATGTCACCCCCTGAAAGCCCTCTCTAATCTTGCAAAAATATCGGGCCATGACCCTTTGCCTTCCTACCCCTTCATATACAACTCCCCACCCCCCTCACGCCTCCCCCTTTATTTCTCACGTGAGAAACAGAGGAGGGACGCCCCTACAGCTCATCCTTCCCCAGGGCTGCCTCGATCAACCGCAACGTGAGAAGGATGTCCCGTTGTACTACATCATCGTCACCGGCCGTTGTCGATGCATCTCCTCGCTCCCCCACACCCTTCCCCTTGGTGAGAACACTCCATCATCTCTCCTATCTTGTTTTCATGTTCTTCTCTGCATATCAAGTACCTTAGATGATGTATGGTTGATCCCCGGCGAAGTTTACCCGTTGTATGTGTTGCTGTCCTCGTGGCCAGTTTTGCTGCTATTGATGGAATCGGTGTTCCTCGCTGTTTCGTTACTCCGATCATCAAACCCTTTGGTCAAATTGTATTTAACATCCTTGAACACGCTTCTGTAAGATGGTTTGGCCATAGGAGTTAAGAAACCAGAGATATCTTCATCTCCGTGCCCATTGTTCCTGCTGTTTGATCAGATTGCAGCTCTGAGTGGTTTTGGCGTTCCCCGCTAATCCACTATCCAAATCATCAAGCCCTAGAATCTACATGTTCATGATATCCCTGCACATGATCCCATTAGTTGGTTTGGCTATGCAATCCCCGATGGCGGAGATATCGAGACCGAAGTGCCTACTACCCCTGCTGTTCAAACAGCAGTCACCCAGTTTTATTTGGCAACGATGTTCCCGTTGATCCAGTGAACCCCAGGATGCATTCTTTGGCTAGACTATCTTCTATATAGTTGTACATGCCTCTGCAAAGTTTCATGGCTATATGACCAAAGATGAAAGATATATGCTCCTATCTTGTGCTCGCTGTCCCTGCTGCCCCGCAGCCGCGCTGATGCCGGTTGGCATGCGTGTTCCCAATGTTTCGCCTCTCGGGTGGTCAAGCCCTTCGACCACAGTGTGTATCATATACTTAAACACATCTTTGCAAGTTTTCTTGGTCATATGAACCACAACACCGAAGCTATAAGCATCACTGTGTCGCTGCTCCGGCCATGTCAACAGCCACGCAGTGCCATCTTGCAATCTCGTTCCGCACCTAACCGATGGTCGGAACATCATGTCCTTTTGTCACAATATGTTCCATGCAGTGCCTTGAAACCCCACCCAATGAATCACCATTTTTCTTTGTTATAACCATGCAACAGTCATCATATCTGCCGCCGACCGCTGACGTGCATATTCTGGATGCCTCATCGATTCACCACGTTCCCCGCTAAACCGCTACATGAATCATTGAGCTCTCTACCATGATCGTGTGTTTCCTAGTTTCACATGATCCTACCAAGTTCTATGCCAACAAGTTCAATGTGTCTTTGCCTTTTCATGGCCACAGCCGCTACTACCCGCCGCTGTCCGCCACCAGGTACGCTCAACCGATGCACAAATCGCCATAATTGTGTTTCCCTTTGATCTAGCATCCACCTTAGTGCATTGGTTGATCATGATATCCTCCCAAGTAACCAATACACATATCCAACCCTTTTTCTGATAAATATGTTTCTTCTAGTCCAAACTCCACATTGCTCACCTAAATCCAATCGCTTCCATCTATAGCTTTCAACTCTCACATCCTTTAATCGTGGCTTTTGTTTTGGTTAGTTTTTGCGCTCACACGATCATAGAATAAGCCATATGCTTTCAAAACCTTTGTAACTTGTTTTTGTAATGCTTGGTGTACTGTTTTAGGGTTATTTTCAAGTGCATGTGCCAGTTGATTGCTATCGATAGAAGAAGCTATGCAAGGAAAGGATGATTTAGAAGAAAGGTTTGAGAAGTTTGAGCAACAACTGGAGGCAAGTGTAACATGAGTTCCCTTGTTACCCAATAACCTTATAATCACTTTCATATGCACATGTCTAATATGATGAACCCCTAAGGACTTTACCTAGTACTTTTGATACCCTATACTCCTTGTTTACCCTAGGTTTATGCATATGGGTAGTTTTGCTTAGCTTGCAATCACCAAATGTTATAATGTTAATTTTGATTAATGACTTCATGGAATCAAAGGTTAAATTGATGCTTTTGAGCAACATGGACAGAAGGGGGCTAGAGCATTGGGCCTATTTAGGTGCTTGTTGGTATATTTTAAACACACACAGATAATTCCGCAAGGGCACGGATACCGCTGTAGCTTTCACCCGGGAGTATTCCAAGGTATCATATTTATCCACAGGGAAACAATGGTTAAAGAAGTTGATAGTTCACCATCATGTATCTACTAACTAGTATACCAACTGAAGTAAAGCGGGGGTAGGTATTGATGATGATAAGAGTTATGAATAATAACACACATAGGATAATTCCTTGGTATATAAATGAGCAGTCTAGCTAAATTGAGAGGACAACGGTTGAGTTCAAGGTTCCTAAATACTTCTCTATTACTTTGATTCTATTCTAGTTTAGACTAGAGGGTATAACTAAAGCATGGGTAGATATAGCGATCACACACAATAGCACTTTGGGACATCGGAACACTAGCCACAGAAAGGGATGAGAAAGGGACTAGGAAGCTCCGACTATGGTCCTACAAACACCAACCCAAACATGGTGGACAACATCGGCCATCAGGGCTATCACCACCTGGGGCTACCACAACTATCCATGGGGTTGGGTGCAATCTCAGGTAACTTATAGTTTAGACACCACGTCTACACTACTAATTACTACTCTAATCACATATAATAACTAGAGCACTCGATGCGAGCGGAGATCCCATGCTAAGATATGATAACTATACAAGCCATACACATGAAAGGCATAAAAGTGAATAGAGAAGATAACTATATTAAAGCATAAGTCTTGCAAACATAAGATACAAAAATTTACCCGACCTCCGAAGATTTCTTCAAAACCTGAGCATGGCTCAACTCTCCCTAACTCTCAACTAGAGCTATTCTACTTCTACATCTTGAGAACTGGCTCTGATCCTAATGAGGAGGATATGAATTAGGGTTTTAGGATCTGGTGAGGGAGGGGGTAGGGGCTGCTATATATAGGTCAGAGGTAGAGTAGCGGACAAGGAATCAAGGTGGAGTAATGGGCAAGGACTCTAGGAGGACTAGGGGGCAAGGAATTGCCACGTCATTGATCCATGTCAACTCTCCCGACCACAGTTGGATGAACCGACCTAAAACCGCCTTAGAATCAATGGCGTAGATCATAAGGAGTACGAGGCGGTGGAGGGCGATGGGCCACCCCCATGGGCCAAGCGACCTCCCTAGTGAGCCGGGCGGCCCACTATAGTGCTAGGTGGGCTCCTCCTTCTGGTGGTGAGGATTGGGTTCCGTCTTGAATCGTCTTTCATAGGTTTCGCGGGTTGAGTCACTTGTTGTCGTCGGTTTGCTTGTTTGGAGTGTATGACAGTGGTCCCGGGAGCTATTTTCTAGAAATCCTCCTACAGTCATGAAATCACCAAAGCTCATGGAATTCATTAGTTGAAACCCCTAAATCTTCATTGGTGATTACATTTATGCCCTTAAACATGTTTAATTGACGGTTTATAATGGTTGTTAACTACCGTCATCAACTCTCCCAAGCTTAACCTTTGCTAGTCCCTGAGCAAAGCTAAACTCAGCAATGGATCAGGAGTTGCTATAATATTCTACGTCTCAAAAGTACACAAGCGTTCAATCAAGAATTCTCCTTCGGATTAGAATAAACTGATCTGACTTTCAAACTTACCCATATTACCTTCAACCATGGGGCTTCTTAGCCTTCCCTTGGGTCTTGAGCAATTGAAAGACAGATTGATCAAGTCAAGCACTATGTCTCAAGTTCTTTGTTCAACCATTGTTTCGGAGTTTTTATAAGTTTTTAAAATAAAACTCAGGGATTCCATTGTATGACACTCTCAAGTCTCTCAATATATGTGGTATTTGTGGATCCTTACCAAGGCAATAAAGATGTTATGCCTTTTTCTCTTCCTACCACTAAGGCTTATGTGGAGTACATAGGTAGGGAGAAAGCTAGAGCATACTTGCAATGTATATATTGTAAAGTCAAACAATTGATCCAAAGAGAGTTGAGTCATACAATCAAATCAAGATGTGCATGTATGTGGATATATGTGGTGGATATATATATGGTGGCTAACATATAATTCTACTTTGCTCCTTGAAAACATATATCTCTTTTGAAACTTGGAAATATTTGCTAGAGAACAGGGGCTATCTTATTCATCTCTCTTTCTTTTTTTAGGCGGGCATCTGAGTACCCATTGTTTTAAATATCTCAGATACTTTTGTGTCCATTTTTTTAAGTTCTCTTTTTTCCCTTTTTTTATGAATAACTTCTGCATAGCCCCATGTCTCTTTTCTGCAACAAAACTTTTGAGAGATAGCAACAAGAACTTAGAGCATTTATTTGGTGGATGGAAAACCTATCAGTCATGTTTTTGTGTTCACTCCCAGTGTAGGAGTAAAACATTTTTGGGTGGATCTAGATGGAAGGCATGTTTCTGCGCCTACCCCTAGTGTAGGAGTAGTGCATATGTGGGTGGTGTGTATGTGATCTTGATTTTAAGAGCATGACAAATCTCTCATAAGGGTCACAAAGCTTGACAAAACTCAATGCAAAAGTAAGCAGCATATATGTGGAAGTTTTCTTAGTCTAAATAACATGTGTGGCTCTGGTGGGAATTCAAGCTTTGTCATACAGGAACTCATCATGTAGCATTTTTGTGTTTTTTAAAAGATAAATCTCCAGAACTTTGGTGTCACTTGGAACAAGATAAACAACAATTCAGACTTTCTCATATCATATACATCAATTACCTAGACTTAGATCAAGCATATGCTACCCACGAGTTTCAAGTTAAGAGTAAATCCTTATATCAAAATAATTTTATCCAAAACTCAGAAGAATTCAAGGCTAAAAACTAGGTACTT